CTCTTTGCTCTGTAGGGTTCTGCTTTTGAGCCCTAGCCCCTCTATGTGAGGAACTCGAATCCACGAGTGCGGGAAGGAGAGATGCCTAGTGCAGCAGTCATGGCTGTGGGTGCAGGGGAAGAATGCTGAGATTCGACTCCTGCCTTCATTCTGACTGTGTGTCCTTGGGCAGGTCACCAGCTTCTGTGCCTGGCTGGCCAGATCAGTGCCTGCCACATGGGAAAGCCTCTTGAGTAGGCTCTCATTATAATACTATCATTATTATCCTCATCATCACCACCACCATCATCACCATCACCATCATCATCAATCACCATTGTCACCATGATCGCCATCATCAATCACCATCATCACCATCATGATCGCCATCATCACCACAACTACCACCACTGTCATGATCATCACCACCATATCACCACCATCATCATGATCATCATCATCACCACCAGCATCATCACCTATCATCACCATTACCACTACTACCACCACCGTCATCATGATCATTGCCATCATCATCACCATAACTATTATCACCATCATGATCACCACCATCACTACCAGCATCATCATCACACAGAGAGACAGAGAACAGCATCACGGGCGCTGTGGTCCTCCGCCTCTTGTCTGCGTGGTGGCTGCACAGCAGTGGAGATGCCTTCTTTACCAAGCAGGCTGATCCTAGCCGGATCCCAGTCACCCTCTCCATCCAGGAAGCTACGGGCCTGGTGCTCATGGGAGATCACTGCCTGAGGGTTCTTCCTCATCCACCAGAGAGGAACTGCCCATGCTAGCAATCAGCATGAACAGGATGAGGAAAATGAGGGGGTATGAGGAGGCTGGAGAGCCAAGAGGCTTCGGGGGACAGAGACTGAAAGTTGAGCTGGGGCTGTGCTGTGGAGCTCAGAGTCAGAGACCTGCTGCCTCGCCGAAAGTCTCTCCAAGGGGTGTTGTGTATCCCAGAAGCAAGTGCAGAGGCGACAGCGCTGGCTGCATGGATGGCCTGGGGCACTGAGGGGCCTCTGCTTTTACACTTCAAGCAACCACCCACTTCCAGCCTCTTTCTGACCAAAGCAGGCAAGACCCAGAGGACTTCTCGCTGAGCCAGCAGCCTGCGCCTGGGGCTGCCCCATGAGCAGGGTGGACAGACATGCGTGCTGCGCAGGTCTCCGGCCACCTGAGGAATGCAGGTGTCACCACTGCTGGGGCCAGTCGACCAGACTGGCTCTCAGTACCCAGAGGCCATGAGGACAGTGGCCCGGGAAGGATAGCCAGCAACCTGTGAGCTGCTCCCACGCAGGCATGTGCACACGTGCTGGTCAGCAATAGTGAAACTAACCATAGCAACAGGAGGGCCATTACCAGTTTAGCCAGGACTAGCCTCCATGCCCAGCATCTTACAGGAACTCCCAATCCCTAGTGGTTACTGGCTGAGTTGGGTCTCAAACCCAGGTCATCTGCTTCAAAGCCTCCCATGGCTCCCCACACTGGCTTCCACAGCACCGACATGGGCCTTGCACCCCTGCCCAGGATGCCAGGCGCCTGGTGTGACTGCTCTTTGCTCTGTAGGGTTCTGCTTTTGAGCCCTAGCTCTATGTGAGGAACTCGAATCCACGAGTGGGAAGGAGAGATGCCTAGTGCAGCAGCCGTGGCTGTGGGCAGGAATGCTGAGATTCGACTCCGCCTTCATTCTGACTGTGTCCTGGGCAGGTCACTAGCTTCTGTGCTCAGGCTGGCCAGATCAGTGCTCACATGTATGTTTCGAGTAGGCCTCTAATATAATACTAATGTCATTATCCTCATCATCACCACCACCATCATCACCATCACCATCATCATCAATCACCATTGTCACCATGATCGCCATCATCAATCACCATCACCATCATGACTGCATCATCACCACAACTACCACCACTGTCATGACTCATCACCACCATATCACCACCATCATCATGACTTACTCATCATCACCACCAGCATCACCTATCACCATTACCACTACTACCACTCACCGTCATCACACTATTACATCATCACTCATAACTATTATCACCATCATGATCACCACCATCACTACCACAGCATCATCATCACGGCCATATCACCACTCATCACTACTACTCACCATCATCATAATCACCGCCATGATCACCACCATCACTGACTGACTACCAACATCATCATGATCATCGCCATCATCACCATTATACATCACTACCACCGCCATCACCATAACCATTATCACCATCATGATCACCACCATCACTACCAGCATCATCATCACTATTATCACCATCATCACTACTACCACCATCATCATAATCATCGCCATGATCATCACCATCATCATGACCACTACCACCATCATCATGATCATCATCGCCACTACATCACCACCATCATCACCATCTCCACCACCGTCATCACCATAACCATGATGACCCATCATAATCACCATCATCACTACCACCAGCATCATGATAACCATTATCACCATCATAATCACTGTCATCACCATCACCACTACCACTACCATCATCATGATCATCACCACCATCATCACCATCACCACTACCATCACCATCATCACCATAACCATTATTACCATCATAATCACCATTATCACCATCACCACTACCAACATCATGATCATCGCTATGATCACCATCATCATCACCATCACCACTACCACCACCATCATGATCATCGCCACTATCATCACCATTATCACCATCACTACCACTGCCATCACCATAACCATTATCACCATCACGATCACCATCATCACCACCATCATCACCATCATCACTACCACCAGCATCATGATCATCGCCACTATCAGCACCATCATCACCACCATCATCATGATCATCACACCACCATCATCACCATCACCACTACCATCACCATCATCACCATAACCATTATTACCATCAAAATCACCATCATCACCATCAAGATCACCATCATCACTACCACCAGCATCTATGATCACCATCATCATCACCATCACCACTACCACCACCATCATGATCACTGCTTACTAATAATACCATTATCACTATCACTACTTACTGCTATCACTATAATCTATTATCACTATCATTTATCATCTAATGAATACACCACCATCATCACCATCACCACTACCACCATCATCATGATCATCGCCACTATCATCACCATCACCAAGCACCATCACCATCACCACTACCACTACCACTCATCATGATCATCACACCACCATCATCACCATCACCACTACCATCACCATCATCACCACTACCACCACCATCATCACCATAACCATTATTACCATCAAAATCACCATTATCACCATCACTACTACCAACATCATGATCATCGCTTAAGTGATCACCATCATCATCACCATCACCACTACCACCATCATGATCATCGCCACTATCATCACCATTATTACCATCACTACCACTGCCATCACCATAACCATTATCACCATCATCACCATCACTACCACCATCATCACCATCACCACTACCACCATCATCATGATCATCACCACCATCATCACCATCATCACCACCATCATCACCATCACCACTACCACCATCATCATGATCATCGCCACTATCATCACCATCATCACCACCATCATCACCATCACCACTACCACTACCATCACTGCATGATCATCACACCACCATCATCACCATCACCACTGCTACCATCACTCATCATCACCACTTCACCACCATCATCACGATCATCGCCACTATCATCACCATCATCACCACCATCATCACCATCACCACTACCACCATCATCATGATCATCACCACTACCATCACCATCATCACCACTACCATCACCATCATCACCATAACCATTATTACCATCAAAATCACCATTATCACCATCACCACTACCAACATCATGATCATCGCCATGATCACCACCATCATCACCACTTTACCACTACCACCATCATCATGATCATCGCCACTATCATCACCATTATTACCATCACTACCACCGCCATCACCATAACCATTATCACCATCATGATCACCATCATCACCATCAAGATCACCATCATCACTACCACCAGCACTTGATAACCATTATCACCATCATAATCACCATCATCACCATCACCACTACCACCACCATCATCATGATCATCATCACCACCACTATCACCACCATCACCACCACCACCACTACCACCATCACCATTATCACTGCCAGCAAAATCATCACCACCACCATTGTCATCATCACCATCATCATCACGATCATCATCACCATCACTCTGAGACTTCCCAGGCTGACTTGGCCCCAGGAATGAGCATTTTCATCCCAGCCCACCATGACAGTCAAGATCCTGCCTGCTGGGCTGGGTCCCAAGGTGAACCTCTTGGTGGTGACACTTGTCTTTCCACAACATGACCCGAATATCCTCCCAGTCGTACCTTCCGTCACGTGATAGGAGTCCAGCAGGGACAGATGATTGCTTGTGCAGTCACGGGGGAAGTAGCTCCCAGCAGGAGAACCCAGTTCTGAAGCCTAGTTTTCAACCTAGAAATGTCCTATGCTCCTCCCAGCCACCGCAGATGAAATGAAACAAGACCACGCCTTCCACTAGTGAGCAGCCACCGGTTTCTCAGGGGAGGGGTGGGAGGTAGACACCAGCCCACACCAATGCCTGGATAGCCTTTAGGAATCAGGGTGTGTTTGTGAGCCCGAGTGACCTGCACAAAGACTGTAGAACGTTCTCATGGCACAGTGTGGGTTTAGGCCCCTCAACTAATCCTGCTCTGTTTATGAAGCTCCAAGTGAAGACCCCATCAGGCAGCTCTGGAGAGCCAGGGCCTGCTATGCAGGTGTCATTAGGGGCTGTTAGGGGAACTGTAACCTGATTCGCATAGGCATCTGAGGCACTGCTGGGCACCTGAGCCATGTGGCTGTTTTCACCCCAATGCCCCTCCCCAGGGTTCCAGCAGCCTTGTGCCTCTCACCTTGTGGGCCTGGTCCAAGGCCTGTTTCCGGTAGTCCAGCTCCTCGTCCAGGTAGCCCTTCTGCTTACTGAATAGCTCCTGAAACACAGGAGGACCATGCCTCTGTCTCGGATGTCCCACCTGCAGCGCCGAGCCGCAGAACCTCAGGGAAGGTGCCACCAACCTTCTCACTCTCCAGATCCACCATCTTCCGCTGCAGTGCCGCCTCTGTCTCCTCAATCTGCTGGAGCCACTGGGCACAAACAGAACAAGCAGGACAATGACCCCTAGGGTCCCCCACCCTGGCTTGCGGAGACAGCTGAGAGAGAAGCCAGGGCAGCCTGAGTCTTCCTTCCTCTTCTCCTTAGGGAGGGGAGAGCCAAGCCCTCTCCAGGGAGTTGGGGCTGCGCTGGAATCATGGCCCTGCCCCTCCCACCCTTCAGGTGTCCAGGAAGTCTGCCCCCGATACCACCTCCAGGAGAGAAGAGACGCTGGCTTGGGGCACTGTGGGAGAGACACATCTGCAGAGCTCTGCCACCACAGGCAGGGAGGGGTGGCCTGTTTCTCCAAACCCCTATGTGCCAGGAGCACCCCTTCTCCTTGCTGTGGGAGGCCCAGCCTACCAGGCAGGTCAGGGCCAGGGATGGGACTAGGAGCAGGTGGTAGGCTGGGTGGCCCCAGAAGGGGGTCAGGATAAGTTGAACAGAGAATGCTGCCTGCAGACTCACCATACCTTCCCGCCTTTAGGAAGAAACCCAGACAGGGTTGCTGTCAGAGCAAAGTGGAGCTGAATCTGTCCTTTGCAAACACGCACAGTGGGTGCTGTCTGACCTGAGTATGCCAGATCTCCCAGGGCAGACAGGGTTTAGTGGACCCCCCAAACCTGGTCCTGCAGGCCACCAAGGTCCTCCCAAGAAGATCACCTTCTCTGAGCTGAGCAGGGCAGGAGACCCCAGGAGCCCGGCCCTCTCCCGAGTGTCCACACAGCTGCTCTTACCTTTTCGGCCAAGGTCAGGACTGTCCTGGCTTGTATGACAACCACCTGCTCCTCATTGGTCAGGTTCTGCACCCAAAAGCAGAACACAGGTGTGGTCAGAAGCAGTGCCTTTGGGGGTGAGGGTGAGTGACGGATGCATGGGGAGGCTGGGGACGCCTGGGTGCCGGGTCACAGCTAAAAAGCGCTTTGACTGACATCTCCCTCCCAGCATCTCTGACACCCTCGACTCTCAAGCTTGTTTCCTCCAGGTGCTGTCGATTTTGTTTTCTCTCGTCCTCCCTCTGCTGGTAACCACCAGGTCTAGGTAACCAGCTGAGGCAGATGCATATGCACTGCTCAATGCAGGCAGGCTGCCATGACATCCCCAGCAGCAGCTGCTGCTCTGCCCAGCTTCTGTCCCCTTCTGTGTCTAAAGCCAGCCTCTGCATATGCACCTGTGGTTATGAAAACACCACTTGGAACAGTGGAGGAGAGACCACACATTCATGGCTGTGAAATGGCTGAATCCCTGCACGGTTTTGTCTTTTTACACATGTTTTATTCATGCTTCCTCCCCACCTGAGGGGACCCTGGGTGGCCCTTCTGGGTAAAGTGATTATGGCTTTGGATGTGGGCACCTCACACTCTCAGACCCTGCTGCAGCCTGCATCCAGACGAGGGCTTCCCCGGTCTAGCTCATGGGTCAGCTGGGGCTGGGTGCCCGGTCCCTGCGGGGAAGGGAGGCCCTTGCTCCTTTCCCTAGAGCCTCTCTGATTCATGTCAGCTCACTCCAAAAGCCCTGTCCATGCCGTTCTCTCCCTAGAGTGCAAGCTCCCTAATGGCAGGCAACTCTTGCTGTACCCGCCCCTCAACGTCCTCACGGGTCTCCCCCCAACAACATCCTCACAGGTCTCCCCCCCTCCCAAAGTCCTCACGGGTCTCCCACAGAGGGGAGTCAGGCTCAGTCTGTAGTCCATGGTGGGGGCCAGCTACACTCCTGACTCAGGCAAGAACCTCATCCTGCACGGCTGGGGCTGGGTGCCCTCATCTCTCCTGCCCTGCTCCCTTCTCCCATGGCAGGGCTGGGCAGGGCTAGGCAGGCCACAGACTTCTCCCAACACTTTAAGTTGGGAAGGCTGAGCAGTTGGCTTCAGGGTGATGGAGGAAATCTACCCGATGTGGTTAAACCACAACGTGCATGTGAAGCTTGCTTGACACTGACTGCACAGACAGGCTTGAAGGGATACAGTCAGCCTGTTGTCAGGAGCTCGCCAGCATCTCCACAGGTCCCCTGAGCTTAAGCCTGGCCATGAGCCCTCCAGTCCCCAACTTCCTCCATCCCTGGGCTCTGTGATGATGGCCTCAGAGGCTGCATGATGACTGCAGGGCCATCACACTCAGTGGCACTCTTGGTGGACAGCTATGGGGCTGGGCAGGAACCCTGAAATAGGCCTGGGCGGGGTTGGATGTCCCCAACTCTGCCACTACATCAGCTCTGTGACCCTGGGCAGTACCTCTGGGGACTCAGCCTCTCCAACTGTGAATCAGAGAGTTGCCCAATACAGTTCCCAAGACCTCATGAGGGGGCTGATACCCAGGACTGGACCCCAGAGCATGTCAGGTCCACAGCCACCCTGCTGTGACTCTTCGGCCACCTGTGACCACAATGGAGCCCCCAGGTCTGAAAGAAGCAGACCCATACCCAGAGCCTCCCTGCTGAAAGCACCCCTGCCTTGTGCCTCACTGCTCCCCAGGGGCTGGGCAGGCAAGGGGAGAAGGGAGTCCTCTGATGCAGGACCCTGGATGGAGGGAGTAGATCAATGAAGGTAGGATGATGGATGGATGGATAGGGGGAGGGAGGGGCTGTGGATGGATGGAAGGATAAAGGATGAAGGATGGAAAGATGGATAAATAGCTTATGGAGGATGGATGGATGAATGGTGGATGGAGGATGCATGGATAAATTATGGAGGGTGGATGGATTGATAGATGGATTCTGGAGAATGGATGAATGAATGGAGGATAAAGGATGAAGGAAGGATGGATGGAGAATGAATAGATGGATTATGAAGGATGGATTATGGAGGATGAATGGGAGATGGATGGATGGGTGAAAGATTAATGGGTAGAATATGGTAGATGGAGAAGGAATGGATGGAGGATGGTGGATAGAGGACAGATGGAGGATGGAAAATGGATGGATTAGTGATGATGGATGATGGATGGATGGAGGATGGATGGACATATTGTGGATGATGGATAAATTCATGGATTAAGGATGATAGATGAAGGATAGATGAAGGATGGAGGACGGATAGATGGATTATGGGGGATGGATGGATTACACAGGATAGATGGATGGATAGATATAAGACAGGGCATGAATGAAGGGCTAGGTAGATGATGCATTGATGGGGAATAAATGGATGGAGAGCGCAGGATTAGTGATGGACGAATGAAAAGTGGGATGAAAGGGTGCGTTTACTTTTGCCCACTCAGTAATTAACATCCTTTCAAGGAGTTTGCTATAGAAATTGGAACTCTGCCCCAGTGAAATTTAGGGGTTATCTATAGAGTCTGCTTCTTCCCCCAAGCCAAGGAAGTGGAATCCCTAAGGACCTTGGCTTGTCTAAGAGCAACAGCCCCCCCATCCTCACGGCAAGTCTGGAAGGGCTGAGAGAGAGACCCCAGAAGCTGGGCGGTGTGACGGGAAGTGCCGTCAGCTGGAAGAACCAGGTGTGCACAGCAGAGGTCCCAGTGGGCCCTGGAGCAGTGTGAGGAAGCCTCTGATTCTGAGCAGGCTCTGGGCCGCGGGAAGGGTCTCAGGCAGTGTGGCCCATGGCAGGGCTGTGGGAGGCTAGTAGGACTCCTGGACCCCAGAGGGGCAGGGCTGGGCTGGGGGTCGTGGGTGTGAGGGGCATGCACAAGCCAGGAGAGCGACATACACTTACGGCGTTATCGCCCAGGATGTCCAGCTTCTTCATCAGCTCCGCGACCACAATGTCCTAAGGCACAGAGGACAGGCAGGGGTGAGCGGCCACGGGTGGGCAGAGAGGGCGAGGCAGGGTGGGACAGGGCATGGGGTGGGGCGGAAGGGGCGGGGCGGGGCGGGGCTCACAGTCACGCCTTCGGCCTCGCAGTACACCTGGAGGGGGCTCTTCCCATCCACGAAGGGCGTGTGGTGGAAGTTGATGGCGGGTGACTTCCTCTCCCTCTCCTAGGACAGAGGGGCAGAAGGGTGAGCCGCTTCCTTCCCATCCCTTCCCTCCAAGAGGGCTGTGCTGGGGCCTGAGGAACATGGGCCAAGACCATGGAACCAAGGCTCAACACAGCATTTATGAAAACCAAACCGCAGCAGCTGCCGTGGTGGCAGAACTTGCACTGGACTTGGACCAGCCCACGACGACCGCGCCCCTGTGTATTCGCCGACCCCAGAGGGGCCGGGCAGAGTTCATCACACTCCAGTCATGTGGCCTGGGCAGTCCCCACCCTGAACCCACGGCACATCCCTCAGTGAATCCCAGGGGCTATGGGGAGGACCAGGGGAGGGGCTGCAGGTCGAATCCCCTGCAGGCCTGACCAGAAGAGTCTCTGGAGGACACAGGCCAGCGCTGCTGCCACTGTCCCCACAGGCAAGACCACGTGGCCGAGGTCATCCACACATGGCGTGACCACACAGCTGCCCTGTCCTCCAGCGGTGGACGGGAGGGCTCTCAGAGGTGGCTCCAGCTGGACTCTGAGGCCTCAGGTGCTGGCCCGAGACGGAGGCCTCGGGGTGTGTGTGGTGCTCGGCAGGGGCGGCCCCTGTGTGGGCCACTTCCTCCCAGCCCCACAGGTGGACTGCCCTTACCCTGAAACAATCACAGGGACGTGGCTGCCCACACCCGGCCTGAGCTGCCTGGTGGGATCCCCCTCCTCCCTCCTCCTGTGCAGGTCATGGCAGAGGACACCGGGCCAGGGACAGCAGGGCACAGGCAAAGAGCTCCCAGTCGCCGCGTGGCCCCCACTGCCCTCACTCAGGGGCAAGAAACAAATGTCTGCCGACCACCGAGGCCTGGGCACGGCCGCACACCAGCTGCAGCAGGGCCACGGGGGTGGATGGAGGACAGACGTGCCGGCTCTTCAGCCCACAGATCTGGAGCATATGCTGCACTGTCACCCGTCGTGCTTTTGTTTTGTTTCCCTGCATGACACTGAGCTCCACGGCCCATGTTCCCCATTGACACGTGCTTTGGGTGGCCGGTATGAAGAGGTGGCGATTTACAGCCATTTGCCTCTTTCCTCCCTGAGCCAGCCTTTTGGGTTCATGTTCAGGGGTTTATGTGGGTTAGGAAGGCTGAGGACTGGATCCCTGACACGGCCACAGGCCACAGTGCTGGCCATTGGCCCAGCTACCTCAAGCTCCAGGATCCTGAACTCCAGCAGCTCGTTTTGGTCTCTGGCATCCTGCACCTCGTGTCTAAGCCGAGCCTCTTCCGTCTCCATTTGTTTGATCTACAACATAAAAGATACATGAGGTGAGGGTCTGGTTCTCTCCCACCAGAGGTCTTGGAAGGACAACTCCAGGCTGACTGGACAGCGGCTGACTGGACACAGCTGCTGGCTGTCGGGGAGGCCAGTTGGCTGGCCAGGTGCCCAGCCCTGGAAGCTCCTCACAGCCCTGGGCATGTTTGGGTCTGTCCTAGTGAGATGGCCCAGCCATCCGGTGGCGGGTGGGGCTGGGCAGGCAGCACCGCATACCACAAGCCAGGAGCCTAGAGGTCGTAGTGGGGCCCTGAGCCTGGGTGGCCCCTGGGCAGGGAGGGGGAAGGGAGGTGTCAAGGATAAACGGCTCCAACAGGGGCTGTGCACTGCAAGCCAGGAGCCTGGGGGCCTTAGTGGGGCTCTGAGCTAGGATGAGGAAGGGAGGTCGTGGAGGATAAATGTCCCAAGTGACTCCCCTCCCTGGTGCCCCTTGGAGCCCAGGCTGTGCCCAATGGAAGGAGTGGGTACCATGGTCACCTGGCCACCAGAATTCACTTGGCTAATTAAGGGGTTGTTTAAACGGAACCAGTTGGGAGTAAACCGGATGCAGGAGTCCCCCATGCCTTCCAAAGGGTAAATGACATGGCCCATGGCACGTGTCCTCAGCAGCCTCATGGGGGCAGGGTCCACCAGGGGCAGACAGCTGTGTGTATGGACAGGGTCCACCAGGGGCAGACAGCTGTGTCTATCCCCTGCAGCTGAGCTTGGGGGACTGAGGGAGCTGCTCCAATGCTCAGGGGACCGAGATAAACTCAGGAGCATTGCATCCTCAGAGTGAGCCAGCTCAGGGGAGCTGGACCCTCCCTCAGGGCCAGCTGTGTGCCGCTGCACAGTGGGCCTACTGTGGAACACCTGCAGGGCCAGGAACGTGAGCCACTCCCACATAGCCAGAGAAAAGCATGGCTCCAGGTGTGCACATGGGCATGTGTGTATGTGCACAAGCATTTCCGTGTGTGCGCCAGCATTTGTGTGCACGTGTTCAAGTGCGCGTGCAAACATTTCTGTGTGTGCCCATGTTCAACTGTGCATGCAGGCATTTATGTGTGTGGGTGTTTAAGTGTGTGCCCTTAAGTGCATGTGAATCTCTGCCTGTGCCAGCATTTACTTGGCACACACAGCATTGTGCTGAGCCCTGTGGAAACAGCTCTTCTAATTTAAGAGATGTTCCATGTGTCCACAGGAAACATGGGGGTGTCGTTCACCATTCAAGTTGTGAACCAAGCCTAAAGCAGGACCCCCAGAGGGCATGACCGGCCACGGGCTGACGGCAGTGCAGGGGCTGCGTTGGGCGTCCCTGTTTGTCTAAAGCTCCATCCTGCTGGCACACGTCAGACTCGTCAGCCAGGCTACACTGGCTTCTCCCAGAGGGCCGCACCTGCCAGTGTGAGATATTGCTGCCTCCTCAGGACACCTGTCCCTGCCCATGGACAAGTGGGGCAGGGGTCACATGGAGCACCCCTCACCCGTGTGTGGTAATGACAGCCCTGCTGGCCCTCCTGCCCCTGGACCCATAGCCAGTCCCGCCCCAGACTCGGGCCACATTACCTGCTCCCACAGTTGCAGGGTGTACCCCTCTTGGGATGGCCCTGGATTGCCCAGACCTAAGTCTAGGGCCCTCGGTGCTGTGACCCCCTCTTTAACCCAGTGCATGGAGCAACTGAGCCAGGTGGGCCTGATGTGGTGGGGAGGTGCCCTGAGAGAAACCTACACTCCCTTCCCTGCACCCCAGGCAGAAGCTAAGGCCACCGAGAGCAGCCTGGCCGCACATCGCATGTTCTGATCTGTTTTTCATCTGAGAAAGTCTTCCAGCCCACAAAGCCCGGGCCAGGGTGGGGGTGGGGGCGGGGCATCACTGTGGGAGCCTCTTGTCATCCGTGGCCAAGACAGCCTGGACCTGGGTCTGCCAGGTGACGCCCTGGCAAAGTCTCAAACACGCACTCGCTCAACCAGGCTGGTCCGTGGGCTCTTCCCCGACGACCCTCCCGCTTCCCCACAGGTGTTGCTGGAAAGAGACTTCCCTGACCCAGCCAGGCTTCCCAGGGGGATGATCCCAGTGGTCTCAAAAGGGCACCTCTGTCACGATGCTCTAACCAGCCGACCCACAGAACCATCAGCACAACAGGACACAAATGGAGATGCTGCTGCAGACAGGCCTGCCCGGACCCCGGAGAACAGGCCCCAGCTCCCTCTGTCCAGGCCGTCGTCCTCCCCAGGGCTCCTGACGGGGTCCCACAGGAGGGAGCAGAGCAGAAGGGGCCTGGGGCAGAGCCATTCAGAAGCCTCAGCCCTTGCTCCACCCTTCAGCCCTGCAGGGACCACTGCAGCCCCCCAGGAGCATAGAGCAAGTCCTGCCAGGGTCTCCAGGGGTTCGGGGCTCACCTTTTCCACAAGCTCTTGATTTCTCCGGTACAGCGCCTGCTTTTCTTCAATCCACTTCATATCCTTGAAAATTGAATTGAAAGAAATAAAGACACAGAGAGAGGAACTCATAAACTAATGTTTAAATCGTGATGTGGCAGAACACCAAAGACCTGTCTGGTCAACGTGGCAAAGCCCCATCTCTACAAAAAAATACAAAAATTAGCCGTGCGTGGTGGCACATGCCTGTGGTCCCAGCTACTTGGGAGGATGAGGTGGGAGGATGGCTTGAGGCCAGGAGGTCGAGGTTGTAGAAAGTTATGATCGCACCACTGAAGCTTGTCTTCAGGTGCAGCCAAATACTTCCCACCCACGTGTGCCCCCTATGCCCGCACAGATGGCTGCAGGCTCACCTGCCCCTGCTCTGCCAGGGCCTTCTCCAGGTCCTCGATTCGTGCCTGTGCCCTCTGCACTTCGGCTTGTAGCTGCTCACGGGTCTGTAGGATGGGAGGAAAGATACATCAAATTTTCTCTAAAAGCCAGACAGACAGCACCACACTCGCGAGATATCAGAAGGGTCTGTCTTTTGGTTCAGTTCATTGAGAAGTGACTGTTCACCCTTCCTTTGGAACAGATGCTTTCTAAGAGAGGGAGAACTGTTTTCTGTTGTTGTTGTTGTTTTTTGTTTGTTTGTTTGTTTGAGACAAGGTCTGGCTCTGTCATCCAGGCTGGAGCTCAGTGGCACAATCTTGCCTCCCTGTAACCTCTGCCTCCCGAGCGCAAGTGATCCTCCCACCTCACCCTCCCTAGCAGCTGGGACCATAGGCGTGCACCACCACACCCCACTAATTTTTGTATTTTTTGTAGAGACGGGGTTTCACCATGTTGCCCAGGCTGGTCTCAAACTCCCAAGTTCAAGCAATCTGCCTGCCTCAGCCTCCCAAAGTGCCGGGATTACAGGAGTGAGCCACCAAGCCCAGCCCTGGAGGGAGAACTTTAAGGCTTATTTGAAGCAAGAGATCTCACTTAGATTCCAAGGGGAAATTCTGCAGGTTAATTTTGAGGACTTGTTAAGAGAAATCTTTGTTTACAGGATGACACAGCCGGCGAGGATGACTGATGCCTAGTGAGTGCTCCGCCCTGCCAGGTGCCGGCCAGAGGGCATTGTTCGAAGGACTTTCCACACGGACCTGCTGGAAGCCCCCGCTGGTGCGGCTGCCTGTGCAGGAGCTGCCTCGGCCCAGCGCTCACTGCCTTCCTGAATTTTGTGTTCCTTAACTGACTCCCAGAGCCTGCCCCACGTCTGCAGGAAAAGCCCTGGTGCTTTCCCTGTCAGCATCCTGGTTTGTGAAGTCCCTCCCGAATGCCACCAAGGCTTCTAGCCAAGGTCTGAGCCACCCTCCCTTAATTCAGTTTGCTCTGGTGGCTCCGAACCATGGGGCATTTCACCCCACGGTGGCTCCTGCTCTCTCTGGGGATAGCTTCCAAGGGAGGGGTGCATTTCGGGACAAGGCGCAGGGTCAGAGGATCCATCAGCCGGGGTGGGGGATGGGCGAAGGCGTGGCCTGTGGTGCCCCCCAAGTCCTGGGTCCCAGCTCCCTGCCCCCAGACCATCCTGGGCTCCTGCCACCACCCTGGCCTCTTCCCTCCCTTAAGGGGTCACAATCGTGGGTGTGAGCCCTTGGGTTGGCGAATCCTCAGCAGAGGGAATTCTAGTGAGTCCTAACCCTGCTTCCAGACAGGGAAACGGAGCCCACAGAGGGCTGTGAGCCCCCCGCAGCCTCAGGACCATGGCAGGGATGGGCCCACGTCCATGTCTTCAGACGCTTGTCCTCTCCCACCCCCTTCCTTATCCTGAGGCTTCCTCGACTTCCACAGTGAGGAGCGACATTTCCAATTATAATACAGAATCAGACTGTGGGATGCCGGCTAGTCTATTTTCTTCATTAATCTTTTCTGTATCTTCCAATTTTTAAAATAACCATGCAGCCCCTCTTGGTGTCAGATTTCCCTCTGATTCTAAATGACATTAAGAATTTTTTACATGTAATTTGGACATTTTCACTCTCTAAGCAAAGCTTCTGAGTTCTGTGTTTTCATGTGGCCCCCAAGCAAATGTTTCTCTGGCAGCTGACAGGAAAACGGAAGACAGGACGCTTCCTCCAGCTCCCCCCGCTCCTGGCGAGCTTGGCCAGGAGGATGCGGCTGCTGCCCCGCCCCTGCTGGGAGGGGAAAGGCTGGGCCCGTGAGGCTCTGGGCTGTCTCGGGGTTACTGTGCTTTATGATGCTCTGAACCAAGGCTTTGACTTTTTCCTTTCTCCAAGGGTCATGCAAAAATTAAGTCAAAGTGAAAGCAGTGATTAAATTTAAAGTCCCCAGTTATGCAGACAAATCTCTCCGAGCCTCAGGAGAGGGAGTCAGGCCTCCCAACTCAGGACAGGAGGAGGGGCACGGAGGGGCAGAGCGCTCCCTTAATTTTCACAACAGACATCCCCAGTGCGGTGCCAGGAAGGCAGGAGGGAAACCAGCCATGTCACCAGGGTGGTCTAGGTGGACAGAGGGTGAGGCCAGCGGCTCCCCGGGGGCACTAGTGTGGACCACACTAGGGGTGCTCTGTGCACACTCTCCCCTCGCCCCAAGAGGTCCATTCCCCACCCACAGCCACCCTAAGTTGCAGAATTGCTGGACACTGGCGTCTCTGGCCCTGCAGGGTGGTTGTGGGATGGGGGAGGCCAACGGGAACCCCACACCCCACAGCTGCCCGCTCTGGAGAACCCCTCAGCTCCCCCAGAAAGCAGCCCGTCTCGCTGTGAGGGGCACCAGCTGCAGGTCCTTCAGCGGTTTCCCCTCCAAGCCTCAGGAAGTGGGGGGGGGTGGCGAGAGGACCCCAGACCTATGACCCATGCTCTCCCCACAACGCCTGGTGCCTGCACTACCCCCTGCGGCCCGCAGAGGGCACCCGCCAGCCACACTGGACCCTTTCCTGGGGGGACGATGCTAAGGTGAGCCAGGGAAGCAGGTGGAGGGACACGGCCACTGGGATCCTGCCCAGTGGGGAGGCTGGGGGAGAGGGGCCAGGGCCAGGGCAGGCACAGCCTGCGTGAGCACGAATGACTTCCGCAAGTTTCAACACTGACCTCGATGCTGCCATGGGTCACTGCCATGCTGCCAAGAGCAGGAGAGGAAGTCTGGAAGGAGACCCATCCTGGGCATTGTGGGCCCCTGCCACCACCACCATCCCGTCTCCCCCAGGACACTCACACCTGTGCCTGGCACTGCTCTGGGCCAGTCCCTCCCACCTGGGCCAATTCCCAGCACTGGACTCCCCAATCCCTGGTTTTAATTGGCCTCCATGGGCACCATCAGGAACGGAGGCAAAGACAGGAGAGCAGGGGCTCAGACCCAGGAGGGACGTCGAGAGAGGTGTCCCAGCCCGGGCCATGGGGTCAAGCAGGAAGGCACAAGGGGGCCCGGAACACGCGCGGTGGAAGTCATGTAGACCTTAACTTCTCGCTCTGCATCCAGCGTCCCTCCGACCTGCTCCTGCAACAAGGCGTAGGCACGCTGCAGGGCCTGGTACTCCATGGTCAGCTGCCGGAACCTCAGCTCCGTCTCCTCCTTGGCCATGCCCTGGAGAGACACGGATGCCACACCCGCAGAGACGCAGTGTCAGCGGCCAGCACCTCCTCCGACGGCGGGGCCCCGGGGCTTCCCTTCTCCCCAGACATCAAATGGTGTGTGTGTGGGGGGGGGTCTCTCTAGCAGTGTGAGGGAGGGGACCCACTCCAGTGTGCAGGGAGGGGCGGCTGCCTGGGGACGCAGTGCTGTTTGGAGAAAAGTTTTCCCTGGAGAGGGGAGCACCAAGCCTTGCAGTGGGAGCTGAGCCGGCTGCACGGCCGAGGCCAGGGTGAGACTGCTGGGCTGATGGCCATGGCCAGGGGCTCAGCTGGGGCTCCTGCTTGCCAGCCAGGCTGCCCTGACCCAGCAGACCCTCCGTTACCAACCAGGCCTGCATATGCTCTGCTCTGCTGAAATGCGTCCTGGGAAGAAAGCTGGGCTTTGTGAAGGGTGTAAAGTACCCCAGGCAGCACGTCTCCTCCCAGGGGCACTCCTGCAGGCTCGCCCTGCTAGCTGCAGTGCCCCCCACCACCCCAGGGAGAAGACAGGTGAGCCTGGCCTTCAAAGGGTCCCAGTGGGCCCCCGGGGCTGGAAGGATTGGCCATGTCCAGGAGTGACTGAGCCCTGAAATCTCAGCCTGGCCCAGTTCCCCTGCCCCACCCTGCACCTGAGGCTGTGGGAGAACGTCTTAGGTCCCTCAACAGGTCTGTGGCCACTGGGCCGCCCTCCAGGGTCTGCCAAGGGAGGCCCAATCCTTGGCTGTGCCATTGGCTGCGGACCCCACTCCTTGTCCCATGGCCACAGGGCCTGCGTCCCACAACGCCAAGTCCTAGCTTCTGACGTGGTGCTGAAAAGGCTGCCTGGACCTGAGGGTAGCCGCCCTTCCGGAAGAAGGGGCTGGTGGGCAGAAACGCCTCTGCTGTTATCAGAAAGAAAACTGCTGCCCAACACCCCTCTCACCCTAATGTGCTTTTGGCACTGGGACCAAACTCCCTGAAGAGTGGTTCAGACCCTCCTGGGGAGGCCCCTTAGGAAGGGAGAGCTCGCCGTACCCCTGTGCAGAAGGGGCGGAGGCTCATGGCAGGAGGAGGCAAGGTTTGGCCTTCATGGGAGCAAGAAGCAGGCCTCAGCCCACACCCCGAGCCACGTCATCGGAGCTTCTCACCATGTCCAAGCCAGCTATCAGCGGGTCAGTGCCAGTGAGGGCTGCCAAAGGCTTCCCTGTGAAAAGCTGGCAGCCCACGCCCAGCCAAGCCCAGGACCCAGCAGGAGACCCTCATCACCTCCTCCAAGTCGTCATCCGGGGTGCACGGGGTCTGGTCCGTCCTGTCTGTTTGGTAAGAGATGGAGGAACCGTCGGATTCCAGGGAGGCCTCTTCATCGTATCCAAAGAAGGTCTCCACAACAACCGGCTTGTGACCGAAAGGCAACATGTCAGTTCAAACCAGACCCAGGCACAGCTGCCTTCACCCGCCTCCTCCTCCTGCTGCCCAACGGTGGGGGCCACAGCCTCACCCTGCAACACACTCCCGTCTCTGTCCCCGGCCTCCCTGGTGCAGGCCGAGGAGGTGGCCTGGGTGTGGGGGGGCTCTATGGCAAGGCTGGCGGGGCAGGTGGGAGAGGGGCCTGGAGCCCCGTGGGTGAGAGGGTCCTGGACCTGCTCTCAGTGGTGGGGAATGAGGCCCTTCAGGGGGCGCCGTCCCTGCACTTCCCTGAGGGTGGTGCCCAGGATAATGGAATTGATGGTGGGTGCCTTCTCTGTGTGATCTCATTCCCAGTGATGCATTTCTGCTCTATTTTTTAAAGTTTCAGCCCTTGACTGATTGGAATAAAAACAAAAACAGGGTCCTCCGCCAGCTGCTGTGAGAGGCCCTGCCTTCGGGGATCCCCCAGGTTCACCCTGATGTCTGCATCCCTAGGGTCCCCTCACCCCTGCTTTCGAGAATCACAGGGTTCCTCATCTGGGTTTAGAAGTGTTACAAAACGCAAAGCCTGCCATCTTCTCAGTCCCTTCCACCATGGCCACGGTGGCCTCCAGGTCTCCTCCCAGTTCTTCTGCCAGAACTTTCCAGCAAAACTCCCTCTGGGACCCCAAGGCCACCAGCTTCTCCTATCCCTGCCAACCGCTGGCCCCTGTCCTGTGTGCCTCCCCACACCCTGCGTCCTCCCTTCGCAGGGCCAAGGCATCTGCTGGACACGTCCACATCCCAGAGAGGCCCCGAGCAGGGAGGGCCGGGACAGCTCCTCCTCCCCACCTTTCAGAGGGCAAGTGTTTGTGACCAAGGAGCATCTAACAACCTAACAGCAAAAAACACTGCTGACTGCAGAAAAGCAACACACCACACACTCACACACACATACACACACTCACATACTCTCACACTCTCACAAACACACACACTCACACACAGACATACTCTCACACACTCATACACACACACACTTTCACACACACACACTCATACTCACACTCACATACACACTCACACACACATACTCTCACACACACTTATACTCACATACACACACTCTCACATTCTCACACACATACACACACTCATACTCTCACACATACACATATGCAGACACACACTCACATACACACACACTCATATAAACGCACATACATATACACAAATGCACACACTCACACACACATACACACAGACACACACTCTCAACATAAAGCAGGAGATGAGTCAGGTGCTTGGGCAGCTGCTCCAAAGGCTCCCTTAATAAAACTCATAGGTTTATCACAAAGGATTCTACTGTAGAGAAATGATAGCCGTTCACATTTCCTGGGGACGTGGGTCTGCCCTGTGGGGCCTGTGGATGAGGCTGCTGCAGCCTGTAGGAGTGGCCAATGGTGAACGGCAGGACAGGCGAGCGTGGGGTGTGTGCCGCAGCCAGGACGGGTGAGCGTGAGCAGCCGCAGCCAGGGCGGGTGAGCGTGAGCAGCCACAGCCGCCCGTCCTCAGAGCCATGTATCCCACGGGTCGTGGGGACTCGGACCTACATGGGCGGTGAGGACGCCAGAGCCGCCACCTCTTCATTGCTAGTGTTGCTGGTACAGTTGTTACCAATTCCATCTTCTCTTGGAAATTGAAAGAAACAAGTTTACTAAAACTGATGAACAGAATATTTACTTTGGGTCTTATTTTGGTCATTTCACAGTAACAATTTTTAGAAATAATAAAAATTTTCTTTTCATCTCCAAAGACTGACTCCTATTAAGCACGCACCAGCACGCTCTCCACACACATCAGCACTCTCCACACACGCGGGCACAGTCCTCTGCACACACACCCGGCGTACTCTCCACACACACACACCCGGCATACTCTCCACACACACACACCCGGCGTACTCTCCACACACACACACCCGGCGTACTCTCCACACACACACACCCGGCATACTCTCCACACACACACACCCGGCATACTCTCCACACACACACACCCGGCGTACTCTCCACACACGCAGGCACAGTCCTCTGCACACACACCCGGTGTACTCTCCACACACACACACCTGGTGTACTCTCCACACACGCGGGCACAATCCTCTGCACACACACCTGGTGTACTCTCCACACACAAACACACCCGGCGTACTCTCCACACACACACACCCGGCGTACTCTCCACACACACACACCCAGCATACTCTCCACACACGCAGGCACCATCCTCTGCACACACACCTGATGTACTCTCCACACACACACACCCGGCGTACTCTCCACACACGCGGGCATGGTCCTCCGCACACACACCCAGCATACTAGCGTACTCTCTACACATGCAGGCACGGTCCTCTGCACACCCTCTGGGTGTACTCTCCACACACACAGGCGCGGTCCTCTCCACACACACCCGCACTCTCCACATACGCAGGCTCGGTCCTCTGCACACACACCTGGCATACTCTCCACATGTGCTGGTGAGCTGTTCCTTACCTTGGGAAGTTTTGCCATTTTCTTTCTTTGCTTCCGGAATCTTAACAGCTTGTCCCGCTCCTGCAGAAGTCAGTTGAAGAGGTTGTGTAAGTGGTGGAAGAGCTCCATCTGTTTCAGTCCATGGTTTACTGCCCCCGTCCCATCATTTGGATGACAGGGAAGATGGTGTCCGGGCTGGCTGTCCCCACACCACAGTGGGAGGCCCTGGCTCCAGCTCTGCTGCTCGGGGAGCTCATGTCTCCAAGGTGACACGGGCAGCTCCCCGGTGGGGCAGGCTCTGAGCTTCTCTCGCTCAATCGTCCACCAGCCCCTCCTTCTGGATGCATCTGGGGGCCACATGGGGCGCTGGAAGGGACTCATGACCAGGGCCCCTCTGGACCCTGCAGGGGTGGTGTCCACATCTGTGTGGGGACTGACGCCCTCAAAATACTAAGGAGACCAGGGTCCTGCTGCTCTCCAGGGAACCCATGCTGTGGTTTCATGGCCGTGATGGTGAACCTCTTGGGCTGCGGCTGCCTGTCTGTGCTGGCCAGGAGAAATGCATTGTGGGGTGAGCAGCCAGAGAAGGGCAGCCATCTGACCCTGGCCATTAACTCAGAAACACGATCGTCCCAAGCTGGTGCCATCTCAACTGGGGCATCAGTGGGCATCCCTAGCTCCTGTCTGACCCACTCCGAAGGGCATCAGCCACCCGTGCACAGCCTTGGCCAGGTAGCACTGCAACAACAAAATCCACCCGAAAGGCTGCCGCGGCTGCTTCTGTCTGGTCTGTGAGGAGCTCTGGGCACAGAACGGGTCCCACGGGCAACTGTGTGGAGAGCAGGGGCAGGGGAGGCAGGCGCTGACCGTACTTACTAACACGCTCTTCACATAGCCGGCGGTCTCAAGGGTCTAGGAAAGGAAGACAGCACGTTACAGAACTGCTAAAGGCCCCTGTTAGCCAAGCCCCTTGGGAGCCAGAGGATGGTGCCGTGGCAAACAGCCCGCCAGGTACCTTAGATAGTTCATCTATGAGGTTTTGCTGCTCCACAATCTGAAGCTTCAAGAAATCGACTTCTCTCTCATCCTGACTTTGATCAAGGTCATTCAAGGAACTGGGTCTCCGTATGATTCCGGCTCTCTGTCTCTGAAATGCCAAGCAGCCCACATCACAAGTTGGGGAGTGAAGGGGTCTGGTTGAACACAGTGGGCAGGGGGTTCTCCCTCAACCCGCGCTGCCCACTCTCAGCTGCCTGGCTGGTGGTCTCTGCTCAGGCCTCAGAACAGCCCAGCTGTGAGGCCCTCGGGAAATGAGGCCTACGCGTAGGCCCAGTCCCACAGCAAGAGCAGGTGTGTGCAGCCCGAACGGACACACATGGGCCCTGCTGGTCTCCCAGAATGCATGGCTGGAGGGGATCGCTCAGAGCCCTGAAGCTGACACTGGGTTGTCCGTGCCCATTTCCCACCCGGCCACCGCTCCCAAATCCCTCCTGACTTTAACTCAGTGTGAAAAGAAGGGAGCTTCTGTAGAGAGGGGTATGGAGGGCGCCTCTCCTCCACGTCCTGCTGAATTACTCATTGGGTAAACTCTGGCTTCATGGCCTTCAGGGTCTTCAGGGCAGGGAAACGCAGTGACAGTGGCTGACGGCCCCCCACTCCTGGCTCGTGGCCTTGGCAGAGCAGAGACCTCCCACCCCTGACTCCTGCTCGGTGCTGTGTGCCAGGCCTCTTCTCCTCCCCAACAGCCGGGATCCTGCAGCCTCTTACTACCCTAGCCCGGGATTTTCCGAATTGGAGGCGGCCTGTTCCAGGCCCTCAAGTGAGACGTGGGCAAACAGGCCTGGGGAGGGGATGCCCCACAGCTGCGTCCTTTGCACGGTCAGGGCCTCCTTCAAGGCTCCCCTCCCCAGGGCTGGGCTTGGCGGTTGCTCCCCCTCAAACGTGTGAGGCCAGACTCCAGCAGAAGGCCTGATCATCTGCCTGGGACTAGCTGTCATGCTAAATCTCGCATGGAGAAGGGAGGGGCTGCTGCCTGGAGCGCGGGTGCGGCCGTGGCCCCATGGAGCCCCCCACCCCCTCACCATTTCTATGTTCTCCTGGGTGACGAATTTTAACTTGTTTTCCATTCGGCGTAAAGCGTGAGACAAATCCTCATTCTTCCGACTGAGGCGCTTATTTTTATCCAGCAGTGGCTTGTACTGACTCTCAGCTTCTCTTACACGCTTTAACTGAAAGACAAAATTAATTACGATTGTTCTTTAAGTGGCAGGTCTCCACACAGAGTCTGCAGACTGACCAGAGCTTGGGCTGCAACAATGCAGTTCCCAGCCCACTATTTGGAAAGTCCATGCCTCCAAGTGGCACCCACTCGCCCAATGCCCACGTGAACCCAAGCTCAGGGCTGGGCTCGGTGTCCGGGGCGGGTGAGTCCCGTCCCATTGACAGATGGGGATGAAGATGAAGACCTGCAGTCTTGGGCCAGTGCTTTGTTTTGCCAAGAAGGGCTGTGGTAAAACTGCCCAGCCCACTGGACCGTTGCAGACACGTGACAGCTCACGCACCCTCCAGGATCTCGAGTTACCTGGAGATCTCAGTGGCTATAAGGACCAATGGTGACAACCCCACTGAGGGGCCGTGTCTGCACATCCTAGATCATCTGCAGAACAGAGAAGGCTTCCGTCCCCAGTAACACAGGGCAGGGGTTAGTCAACCAGCCTTTGAGGGGTAAAGGTGGCCCCTATCTGTTTTTGCTAATAAAGTCCAACTGGAACACAGGAGACTTAGATGCAAGGCCGATCCTTGCAACCACCACTCCTTTTCACAAGGAATTTTGAAAGTGAACTCCCCCCAGGTCCCTACCTCCGCAGTCACAGACCCCTGGGAGCCAGAAGCCCCCGCCCACGCTCACCAGCTCATTCCTCTCTTCTGACAGCAAGGCGTTGCGGTCCTCCAGTTTGCGGATAATCGCGCTTAACTCTGCAATTTTAAGCTGGAAGCGCCGGGCATCTTTTTCATCCAACTGCTGTTCCTAAAACAAAAATCAACTGCAAATAACTGTTCCTACACACAGGCCTGGGAAGCCTTTGCAAATCCCAGCACGCTACAGGAACTAAAACCCTGCCGCGGGACGAGCGCCTTTGCCTCCACAAGGCTGCCGCGAAGGTTCAGATCCCCCAGGGGAAAGGCACCCGGCCTAGCACCGTGGTCACTGCAACTGCGTGAGGTGACAGCACCGACGGGCAGAGCAAGAGACCCTGCCTCAAACACAACAACTATTTTAAGATAACATAAAGTAAAATAACGAAAAGGAGCAGACATGTCTAGAAGTATGCAGATGGAGAGGGCGGGGACGTGCAAATGCAGAAACCGCGAGTGTGGGTGATGCCAGAAAGACGCCGGCCAGCTCCCAGCCCTCTGCCTGGCCCCTGCTGCTGCCCCTTCAGAAGGGTGTGTCCCCTGCCTGGTGGGGCGGGATTTCTCTGTACGATGACATGAGCACAGGAAAGACACTTGTTGGAGACTTTCAAAAGAGGTGACCTCCCTCAATGGGACTTCTAAAGGGCCGCTTTTGGGACCCCTGGAACTTCTCTCAAAAGTCGGTGGAAACGTTTGAATCCAGTTTCAAATCTCTCTGGAGTGAATGCCGTAATCTACCACACACCAGCAGGAGGGGCTGGATCTCATTCAACGAAGCTGTCTGAATGAGATCTTAAAATAATATTTTCTATTCTTGAGATGTCGCTGTCCTAGGACCGGCTCAGCTCACACACAGTTTTGTCCTCAAAGCAAACAAGCAGCATCCAGGATGGTCCTGGGCCCGACTCGAGTTCCTCATTCAACAGGTGCAGGAGAGGCTCGGGGTCAAAGACCCAGAAGGACCAGCTGGAGGGTCCCTGGACTTCAGATACCCCAGGGTGTCCCAGAACCACGACAAGGATGTGAGTGCAGAGCAGCAGCGAGGAAGCGGGTGGAGCTCAGCCCGGGGTGGTCGGCTGACCCCACATGGCAGAGCGGCCCAGGGAGGAGCAGAGAGTGGCATGATCACATGAGAAGCGGGTGGGAGGGTGACTGGTGATGCGAATGCCAGAAATCACCCTCGAGGGGCCAGCTGGGCACACGGTGGGCAGGGAGCCGGTGTGCCAGCCTTCCTGGGCCAGAGGCAGAGGCTGTGTGCTTGGAGATGGCGGCAGCGCATACCCAGCACAGCCTCCTCCCACCAACCCAGGGCCAGACCCCGGGCCAGCAAGTGCCATGGACTGCAGCAGAAGCCTGAGGCCGGGGTCCATGGGAGGGTGACAGGGCTGGGGCCGATGCTATGTTGACAGGAAGGAAGGAGATGAGTCCACCAGCCCTCCAGGCCAGAGCCAGAGGAGCTGAGCACCTAGGGCCAGGCTGGGTGGGGAGGTGCCCAGGCAGGAGGGTGCTGGCTCGACTCGGGCTCTGGTCTCCTGGGGGAGTGGCCCATGCAGGGCCATGCAGCCACATGGCCAGGTCTGTGACACGGGGTGGGCCAGCGGGCCTGGGAGGTGCTTACAGGGCTTCCCGAGTGGTCTGAAGCGTCTCCTGCACCGGCTGCATGAGGAAGTTCCCGTCTGGGGCTGCCCGGGTGCCGGTCGGCCTCTCGGACCTGGGACAGCTGCTCATCTAGAGCCTCTTTTTGGAGCTGCAGTCTCTGAGCATGCCCGGCTTGAACCCCTAACTCTCTCTCCAGCACGAAGACTGCTCTGTCTTTAAATTTTATCTCCTCCATCTACAAGGAGAACAGAACACAATCACACAGGCGGCAGGACACGGATCTGCAGTTACCATAGAAACGAGCGCAGCCCTGCCAGGCTCCGGGATCTGAGACCGGAAGCAAGAGCGGAGCATCCTGGATGGAGGAGAGCAGGAGCCCCAGCCCTGGATGGAGAGCAGAGCCCCGGCCCTGGGCTGAGGCACGACACCTCAGCTCCCATCAGGCCCTGGCTCAGCCGGCTACACAGAGCTGCTGCCAGCAGGGGACTCCTTCCTGACGGTCCCCAGACTCTGTGTGCTCCGGCACGGTACCGCATTCGGTGCTGTCCTGCTGGGGCCCTGGGTGCACATGGGGGTGGTGGTGTCTAGCAGAGTCAGCAGAAGCCACTTCCAGCTCCTGCCTCTGCTGTAGGTTGGACAGAGAGGAGGACACCCAAGTTACCCACATTCTGCCAATAGGAAGGTGCCATGGGCGAGATTCTTCTCTAAACAGGCAGGGGAAACCATGGGGAACAGAAACCCTGGCCTGAAAGCCAGTGCTACTCCTTCCCCAGCCCGGGCCCACCCCCCAGGGGAAGGTTGTGCAACGTGGGGGCATCACTGTGGTCTTTGGACACTGCCCCTCCATGCTTCTGGGCATGACTAAAAGGCTGGGACCCCACACAGCTGTCTTCAGGCAGCACCACATTGCTCATTAATCTGGCTGCGAGCCGGGGCTTTCGGGGTGAGACGGCAGCCCAGGGGTGTGCAGGACTTCTGCCCCGCCAGTGGCTGTGAGGGGTCGGCGGCCCTACCCACCCTCCCTACAACGCGACGCTTTGTGCTCAACCCACAAAGGGAAGAAGCCCTTCCTTCCGGGGATACAGCAGACGCAGCCTGGAAGCCCCCGCTCCGCTTCCGGGCAGCGATGCGCCAGCCAGAACGCAGCACAGCTGACCCGACGGCCCCCCACTCTTCAGACAGACACGCTCGGCACTTTGGACGTCATTATCCACGGCACTAGATTTACGAGAAGACAAGGTCTTCGGGGATGAACAGCTCAGTTTGAAATATATTTTCGAACAACAGAGCAGAATGGGATATCTTGCTGCTTTACTCATTGTTTGAGGTTTAAACAAGCTAATAAATCTGCTATTGCTGAAGTTAGCTTGGAAACAAAGAAAGGAGGCGTCTAATTAGCCCGGATGGAGCAAGTGATGAGCTGAATAGAAGAAAAGAAATCCTTAATTGCTAAATCCCCATCTTCTCTGCACACAGCAACACTGAAAGAGGCAACACAGTTAGTGGCAAGGGGGCCGGTGAAATAAGAGCGTGTCCATCAGCAGCTGTGCCTGCGGCCTGGCGCTCACACTCTCAGACTCAAACAAGATTTTCTTTTATCAGGACCCCCTCACTCCCAGCTGCAGAGGATGCCTGGAAACTGGAGAGAAGCTCTTGGGACGGTGGTCTCCAGGGCAGGGGGTGTGCAGGCCGATGCTGAGGCTGGAGGAGAGAAGATGCCCCTCCACGCTGCCCGCCCCTGACCCGCCTGCCCCCAGGCATGCCCCGCAGTGTCTCTCAGCATGGGACCCCAACACGCAGCATCACAGCCACCTGTGACAGTTGTTCATGGCCAGGTCCCTGAGCCCCCCAGATGCGCAGTTAGAACTTCTAGGGTGGAGCCTGGGAAGCTGCATTTTACAAGCCTCCCTGCTGACTGTGAAGCCCACAGACATGATCTCACCACTGCCCCACAGTGCTGAGGCCCCTGCACGCGTGTGTCCCGCCACGCCCATGAAGCACGCTCACTACACAGGGCACGTCATCCCCAGCATAGTCACCGGCTGCTGTGGCTGCTCCCAACTGTGCTGACCACGCCTCAGTGCTGCAGACAGGTGACTGCCTAAGGTGTTGGCAGAGTACCTGCGACCCCCCCAGCAGGTCTCCTGACCCTGGGCCCATGGAGCCAGGACTCCTTCCAAAGCCTGGGCCTGTGCAGGGAGCCCTCATGCCTGGCGGGTGCCACTCACACCACCTCTTCCTCCAGAGGGGTCTGCGCCTCAGGGGAGCCCTCCCTCCGCATCGACTTTTGGTTCCGTGGGTGGTGACTTGAGCATACGAATGCGCCTTGTGAGACAGAAAAGGCTGCTGCTCCCAGCGGATGTGCTAGAGGTAAGGAAGAAGATGTGCCTTGTCCTAGCTGGGGCTTGTTTTCCTAGCACAGAGGGTCTTGATGAGAGAAGGAAGGACCCCCGTCACCCAGCTCCCAAGAGCTTAGAATGGGTGGCGGAGATGAGAAAAAATACACAGATGAGATACAGAGCCTGGTCCTGTGATTCCCTGTCACCTGGATGGTGGGGGGAGGCACGGGGGTGGTTGGAGGTGCTAGAAGAGGCAGCCAAGCCTCCCTCAGCCTCTGGTAGGTAGGAGAGCTTGTAAGATGAGGGAAATGTGACATTTTAGGAGCCCAAGCCCTTTGGTGTCCCAGAGACACCAGAACTTACTCCATGTCTGGGAATTAACCCTTGGGAATTTTTCTCTAGACAGAATGTCCAGGTCCCCCTCAATCATGGGATAATCTGCCAGCACCATGAGAAGGTGGTTCCCAAGCCTGGTGGTCTCATGCTGGAATCACCTAAAAAGCTTTCTCTTAAAAAAAAAAAAAAAAAAAAAAAAAGACTGATGCCCAGAAAACTTCTGGTTCCAGACATGATGGGGTAGTTGGCATTAGACTTACCTTTCTGCGGTGAACAACTCTAGAAGCTGAACAAGATACACAACACAGGAGCAGGAGAAGGAGACAAGGAAATCAGTGCCTGTCAGCACAGGGCCCCGGACACACAGCGTCACAGCCCCTGTGACCGCTGTCCACAGGCAGATCCCTGAGCCTGTAGATCAGTGCCTCTCATCACAGGGCCCCACCTCCCCTAACGTTTTCCCTGAGGGTGTTCTCGCAACCTCTCTCCTGGGAAACAGAGCCCTGAGCCGCAGAGGCCTCTCCTGTTGCAGGAAACTAAGATTAGAATTTGGTTGGGGCTACTACAGCAGCTGGGATTTGGAGAGTGGAGGAGGGAATGGCAGAAAAGGAGTGCCAAAGATCTGACTAAGGATTCCCTTAGGTCCTTGGTCCACTGCTAACTGTACGTGTGCAAGGCAGGACTCCCAGAAGCCTTGCAGGAAACAGTTCCTGAGAATCTGAATGGTTAGTAGAAACGTAAGTGGTCGCACACGGCTGTGGAGACATTGCAATTCAAGCTCAGACAGAATAGAAGATCATAGTGATTTCTCTAGACCCTGCAAAGGTTACACTCTAGGGGCAGGACAATGTCCTAGGAGTAAAAACTTCATATTAAGAGAAACTAAACAGACCTTACCTAACAAAGCCTGAAACCACACCTCAAAAGGATCCAGGTAATCTGCTGGTCAGTACCTGTCTGCTTGAACAAAAGTCAACATTCTTAAGACAACAATAACATAATGCTCAGCCTCACAACACATCACCCACAGTGCCAAGAATATACCGAGCATCATTAGACATGTGCACCCACAGTGCCAAGAATTTAATGAAAATCATTAGACACGTGAAGAAGCAGGGAAAAATAACCAATAATGAAGCTAATTCTATGGCAACAAATCAAAAGATGACTAGAGTTAGTCAGCAAGAACTTAAAAAATAATTATGACTGATAGAAACAGACCCAGAGATGGTGAGGGTATTGAAGTAAGCAGATAAGAACTTTTTAAATCATTGTAATTAACTCACTAAAACTAATGTAATTAACACATATTTTTCTAACAGAGATAATAAAATGACTAAAATGCACTAATTCAAATGAGAATCAGGATCTATTCTTAAAAAGAATTAAGTAGGCACTCAAATCCTACATACAAGGTCTAAAATTAGAAATTCATTACAAAGGTCTCAAAGCAGACTGGACACAGTAAAATCACAAACCCAAGATCAAATGATAGAAAATATCCAACCAAGGCACAAAAGGAAAAACAGAAAAATAAAACGGAATAGAGCTCAAGAAAACTGTAAGCTATAGTCAAAGTGTCTAATATACATGTGATTGGAATCCCAGAAAGAGAAAGGAGGAGAAGTAATGTTTGACTAAATAATGGTCAAGAATGTTCCGTATCTGGTGAAAGACATCACTTCAGATTCAAGAAGCTCAGCTGTCCCCAAGCAGTATTTTTTTTTTAATTACAAAAACACACCTAGACACATCATAGTGAAATTGATGAAAACCAGAGTTAAAGAGAATATCTTAAAAGTAGACAGGAAAAAAGACACATTGCCTGAAGCAACAACTCTAAGAGTGACGGCCGGCTTTTCAACAGAAACTAACAAAATCAGAGGACACTGGCAGGACATCTTTTGAGTGCTAAGAAAAATGTCTGACAATGTGAGAGTTCCAGGCTCAATGAATACATCCTTGGAAAATGAAGGCAAGTCAAGATGTCCTTAGACAAAAGTGGAGAGCATCCTTTGTTAATACACCCACAATGCAAATAATTCTAAAGGGAATCTTTCAGGCTGAAGGGAAAAGACTGCAGACGAGAACCTGTGAAGATATAAATATAAAAGACCATTGGCTGCTTATGGCAACAGTAAAAGCCATTTCTTTGGGGGCTTATGACATGTGTCAAAGTAAAATATATGACCATAATAGGAGAAGTGGGTAAATGGGGTTGACCTATTGCCCTATAAGGTACTTGTATTTTGGGTATATGGCAAAATTACTAATTTATGATAGAATGTAGTTAAGGATACATGTTAATATTTCTCTGTAACAACTAATGGAATAGCACTAAATGTTGACAAAAAGGAGATAATCCCATACAATGGTTGGATAACCCCATGGGATAACCTCATCCAAGGCAAGGAGTAGAGAGAGGGAGGAGGAGGGAGGAAAAAAAAAGGGGGCAGGGGGACGAGAGTAAAAAACAGAGAGAAAAGAACACAAATTCCTAGCATCAGGAATGAAACAAGAGACAGTGAATAGATAACAAGAAGCTCTGATCAAAAGTCTA